AGTTTGGGTCAGCTGTCCTGGCTGTGCCCCCTCCCAGCTTCTCACTGGCAGGGCATGGGAAGCTGAAAAGTCCTTGACTAATGTAAGCACTACCTGGCAACAACTAAAACATCGGTGTGTTATCAACATTATTCTCATCCTAAATCCAAAACACAGCACTGTACCAGCTACTAGGAAGGAAATTAACTCTATCCCAGCCAAAACCAGGACAATGAGGTATTGGAGAATTTTACAGAGAAGGTACAATTTTCATTCAAGTTTTTTAACCAACAAGCATCCCGGTCTCCCTAATGGCTATGTGAGATCTGGCATACTCCGTATTAGTTTTATATAGTATTATAGTATAGTATTAGTATTAGATAGTATTATAGTATAGTATTATATAGTATATAAAGCTTCTCTGCTTTAAAAATGAATGGCTGCTCCAAGCTTATTTACTTTTGATATTTCTAATTGCACTCATTTAAAAACTGCCATTAATATCGCTGAGTCATCCCTAACAGCATTGCCTAAGTTCCCTGTGCTAGCCAGATTGCAAACTACTGCACGCTTAAGCAATTTTCTTCACAAATTTCTTTTCTCCTTTGGGGAGAAGAAAAAAAAAAGCCCAACACACTGAAACAGTGCTGCTAAACTACCTCTACTTAATTCAATAACCTGAAGATTCCCCACCTTCCTATGGGCCTTGTTGAAGGCAGCAGAGCTGGAACAATGGTAGGTTTCTTGTTCTTTGTGCTGCGGTGCTTGTCTGCTTTTTCAAGCTGCCGAAAGCCCCTGCCAATGCTTAGCATCTTGCATCTTCACAGCACTGTAGCAACAGTAAGTAATTAATCCTCAGAACTCCTCTGTGATGCCAATAAAAATCCTCCATTTGCAGCAGGAAAATTGTTTATATGAAGTTATAAATAGGCAGTGGTTAAGATCTGGCTTTGTGGTGTGTGACAGACATGTCAGGTTAACACACATAAATACATGTTTTAAAAAAACAAAACACCTTTCACATATGGTTTTGTGTGTGTCTATATATATGCGTGTGTGCGTGTCTTTACAAAATTGCTGGTGATTATATTTTTGTCTCTATGGATGAGATGATAAGGAATGTTTCCTACAGAATCTACAGGCAGGCAACTAATGCCGATCTCTCCCCTGGGGAGACAGGACAGAAGGTTTCACCTCGTTTAAGAGGATTGAGATGACAAAGGACTCGAATGATTTTAATCTAGCAGCCCTCTTCTGGGAAAGAGACTTGCTTTCAGCGTAAGAAAACAAAACCGTGGTACTAACTATCCTGCCAGGAACTCTGTGAGGAAGCTGGGGAAGATGACATAGTAAAGTAAGCTTGTATATCAGCTATTTATTGTAAGTTTATGGTTTGATAGTTTATATTATATCGATAATGCATTATTAATCCAGCATATAAATATTTTAATATATAAATATTAAAATTTTATTGCTTTAGGTAGGCTACCTCCAAAATGCTTTTGAGCTGGCACAGCAACACTTTGCTTTCTGAATTCTCCATCGCCTTGTCGCTGCCCCCATGACATAGCAGCACGTCCTGCACTACCTGCAGCCCTGCTGAGGTGAGCACCAACCTGTGATGGCTTCACCCTGACCAAGGACAGTGAGGAACCAGCCTGCAATGCACCATACAGTTACGTAAAGGTGTCATTTTGAGGGACCGAACCTCTAGCTGCTTGTTGAATGCTGTTTTCCTTAGAGAGTGGGAATTTGCCTGAGGAAAGAGATAAATCCTGACCATTGTGTTCTGCCCCCCTAAAACACTCCCTGCAAAGAGTTTCCTCTCATTCAGGAAATCCCATGCACCTGAAACATCCACTGTAGATGATAAGACTACTCAACCAAATCAAGAGATGTAAATGTTAAAAAGCAATCCACTTTTTGATGGAAAAAAAAAATATAAATAATTTCTTCAATGCTGAGTTAAAAAACTGCACTTATGAGGAAGGGTGAGGAGCCCTTCCCACCCACCAAACACAATCCAGGTTATCAATAATTTCTAGTTAGGCAGCAAAAGGAACAAAAAGGACATCGTCAAATCAAGTTTCCCATCTCCATAGGTAACCATGGCATATAACCTCCTTCAGAAATGTATCAAGCACTGCTTTGAGGAGACAAAACGATCTCCCTTTAATCTTGGACTATCCTAATTTGAAGGCTGTCACATAACAAAGTTGTTCTAACGATTTGGAACTCTCTAATTTACAGCCTGAATGTGTTCCTGAGTAGTGTAATCCAGTATAGTCCTGAAGTTTAACGTTCCTCTTTGGGCTGGTGATGACCCCTCTGCATCCAGAGCACCATTCAGCCCTTGTTTTGCACAAGCCAAGCCGTGTCCATCACCCTGCCTGTAAACCTTTTGGTCCCAGTTATCCTGAAAATCAGGGCTGGTCCTTGCTCCAGTCTGAGCTCTCCCTTGCGTGCGATTTCACTAGCCATGGTGATAGGGACAGGTACCTATCTCATAGCGCGAGAAAAGCTTTTGACCTTGTAATGTGCTATACAGGTGCTAAGGCCACAGCTAATGGCAAACTAAATCTGTCTCTAGCCTCAAGCTGATAAAATGTGATGGTGTTTGCAGTTATGCATCCCACTACTGTTTACAAATTTTAAACTCCCGAGAAAATAAACTAAGTCATTTTCTTTCCCTTTTCTGGCAGTGATCAGTGCCGGTCAGATGTGGGGAAGAAAGCGAGTTTTGGTGACTCCAGCTCTGGTTTTCCCTAGCAGTCTGGCTTCATGGCGGTGGTCCTCAGAGATGCTGCTCCCTGCTTCCGTCGTTGGGAGGCCATTGATAAATCCTTCCCAAGGTTTATGTGGCTGTCCTGGTTTCAGCTGGGATAGAGTTAATTTTCTTCCTAGTAGCTAGTACAGTATTGTGGTTTGGATTTAGGATGAGAATAATGTTGATAACACACCCATGTTTTAGTTGTTGCTAGGTAGTGCTTACACTAGTCAAGGACTTTTCAGCTTCCCATGCTCTACCGACTGAGAAGGCTGGAGGTGCACAAGAAGCCGGGAGGGGGCACAGCCAGGACAGCTGACCCAAACTGGCCAAAGGGACATTCCATACCATGTGACGTCATGCTCAGTAAGGGATTGTCCAGGGAGGATCCTAACATGCAGAAGAGACCCAGAGAGGCAATACACAAACTCCCATGAGGTAATGCTATAGCACTTCCAAATCAAAGATTTTGCTTTTTAAGCCAATTTTTATTCTATATTCTTTTTCTTCTGAAAATTTGAAGCATTTTGTGGTAAATTCTGCCATTCCCCTCCCCCCCCAATTCTCTTCCCCATCCCACTGAGGAGGCACGGGGAGTGAGCCAACAGCTGTGTGGTGTTTAGCTGCCTGCCAGGTTAAACCACAACGCTGGCTCAGAGTACCACTGCTTCCCAGAAGGCCATTTACACGCTGCTTCCTTTCAGCACAAATTCCACTTGATTACAAAACATTTACCCTCTTTTCTCTCACAACTATTATTTTAAAGTTGTATTACTGGCAAGATTTTTCTCCACAAAATATATTGATGTACCCTCAAGTTTAATATTTTGTGACTTCTTCCATCTTCAGACTCAGCTAGATTGCTTATGGCCTGTCCAGATTAAGCAGCATTGAAAGGAGACTTTGATCCAGAGGAAGAACCAGCGGCCGTGCCTGCCAGTTCACATGGCCCTGCCCGTTTCCCCAAAGGGGCATTTTGAAGGGACAGCTGAGCAGGAGCGGGCATCACCTTGGCCTGCTCTGGAGCATAGCTCCGCCTTAAAGTCATCACTGTACAGTTGCCTACTTTGATCTGCCATATTAGAGCTAGCTGTCATGTGCTTCATCTCCTAAATTCCCTCAAGGTACTCATGAAAGTCAACCAAAGTGGTAGACAGGCATCTGTCTCAAAATCTCTGCAGAAAAAGGTTGAAACTACGGATTTGTTTTCACAGATGACCACAGAATCATTATTAAGTCTTGTCCCAACCGTTAGCTACTGACTTCAAAGCAAATTGTTTTTGTCAGCAGAAATTGATAGGTTTCGTTTCGTTTGGTACAGCCGTAAATTGTGATAATGACAAAGACTGATTAAAAAAACCACAATTGTCTAGACTCATTCTAGTCTAGACATGCGGTAGAGCATGGGACTCTTAATTCCAGGCTCGTGGGTTCGGGCCCCACGTTGGGTGCTTGGCAAGACAAACGCCATCACTCCGAATGTCCCCCCCTTCCTCATTCTAGTTTAGACATGCTTTGTAAAGAATGAGAGGATATAAAAAATGAAAGAAAGAATGAAACTGAATAAAGTATTTCAACTGACTTTTTAAACATCTGAGGAATAAAAAAATAATTTAGAAGGAAATGCATTACTTATTAAAAAAAATTCCAGTTAAAACTATGTAGAAGTTTGATTTTTAATTAACCTGAATTACAAATAAAACTTCATATTGCAATACCTAGGTGACAGTTGAGGGAAAAGAAGAAACCTGTTTTTCTTCTGCAGCTATGTGCATTTGCAATGCTATTTAGACTTTATCTATTTCACATGAGTCAATCAGTATTTTTCACTACTGCTTTCTCGAGTCTTTCACAACGCAGCAAGTAAAGAAATGATAGCATTCTCCCCATCACACCCCATAAGAGTAAAATAGTAAGAACTGGCAGCAGTCAGACACAGTGTTTAGTACTTAGAAACAATCTTAATTTAAAAAAAACCAAACTTTTTTAAGAAGGCCAGACAAGTTCTTCCTATAACAATTGAAATGTACATAGAATTACTACCAAAATATATAGATCACTACCTGAAATTTTTTAAAACTCATGTTATGAAGTCTGAAAAACTGCAATATACTTGCTACAAAATCTTTCCTCCCTCTGATCTCACAACCTGGGGTTTTCATATAGATTGTGGGTTTGTTCAATTGATTTTTCCTAAGTCATGATGTCTTTGAGGCATTTCATACAGGGGAGAGAAAAATAAACAAACACAACTCCAGTCTGGTGCTCTCCTTCTCCAGAATCCTGCTAGTAGGGTCAAGTCTGGAAAGTCCACTCTTATTGTTTTTTATATTGGCTTGTATTTTTCTATTAAACCCTTTGATATTTGGGCTCAAAACTTTTTTTCAAACACATTCTCCTTCTCAGAATCCCTACAACTGAAAACGAGACATTTACGTCTCTAAAGTCAGCACAGTATAGGCACCTACATGGTGAAACAGCTATCTTTACGCCTTCTAGACAATACTGCACTTTAGAAAAGTCAGTTGTTCTATAAAGTTTAAAAGACTAATGATTAAAATGACAGATGTGAATAAAGTCATTTGGCAGACAGTTTTGTGCCAGGTCTGTTTATTATCTCCCCACCAACACTAATAACTAAAATTCAAAGACTTCACGCACTAACGATGCATTATGCTGTGTGCTCTTTGAGGAGTAACAGCCCGACATGTGTCAAAGACTAACATTTCCTTGGAAACTTGGTAAGGATTATGCTACAAAAATCTTTGTACATTATGACTAGATGTCATGCTGTGCAGTTATGCTGCTTGCTACTTGACAAATATCACACTGACGTGAATGGTTACTCAGACTGCTGTACAAAAAAAGAACGGCTTTAGGAAAGTTGGTGCTTTGCTTATCGTTACAGATTAACAAGATTCTTACTTGAACCTGTAGTTGTAGATAATACTCTACTTCTCCCTTCCTGGAGCTTATGGTTAGTCAATGATGGAATTTTACTAATTCACAGAAAATTTTACAGTATAGATATCACACCACCTTCAGCCTCATTTATAACAGTGTTGGTTTTAGAGGCAGAAAGAAAGGTATGTTTCTTTAGCCAGCTGACACAGTTTATACCAATAGGAAATACTCCGGATTTCTTCTCAGGAAAAATGTAACTGTGCTGGTGTACTTAGAAACCACTCTGCAATTCACACAGAAAAGCCCTGCCCCACAGTTAGCAATAATACACTGGGCTAGGAAATCTAAAGACAAATCAAAGCTATATAAAAGCACATACACATTAATCTGTACACATTACTACATTGACAGTAAGCGCTTCAAGACAAGGATTCATTTTATTCAGAGTGCCTACTGCAGTAGCTTTTAAGATCTGCATTACCAGGGACCATTAGCTGCTATAAAGAGGCTGTGAAAAAAATAACTAAGAAAAACGATCATATTGCCAGCTGGCTTAAAACCACCACCATGCAGCAGTCTGTACCTTCACCAGAAAATTTCAGGAATCCACAAGTCAAAAAAGGTTGAGGATCTCTCTGACTTACCACAATGGCATTCTTGTTCATAAAATGCTATTAAAAATAGAAAAAGTAACTCAGCCTAGTAAAAAGAAACTACCTTTTTACAGTTTGTTGGGTTTTTTTTCAAGTGTTCTGCTCTCACTTTACACAGATTCATTTACCAAAACTTTCAACTAACTGAACCACTAACTAATTTTGCTAACCTTTGATTAGGTATCATATATGTAAGGGCTGAACTGAAATCTGTTACTGCAAGAAAATGCAAATTCCATTTTGGTCCTTCTACAGAATATAAGACACCGGGGCCAGAATTTTCCTAACAGCTGCCAAGAAAACTGTTTGCTTAGAGAGAATTTTGCTCTAAGTAGATAGAGTAAAATCTGAAGGGACTTTAATTAATTTTAAATATTAAAAAGGCCTCTGTACCATTTTAATGATCTAACAACTTGCCAGAAGCAGCTACATCTCTCATACGTCTCACATGGTATCTGGTGTGACTAATCAGGTGGAGACTGCTATCACAAAAGACTACTGCAGGAGCCTAACGGTGAACTCCAGTTTCACACACATATTTGGGGAAAAAGACAAATCTGATTTTCATTGGTTTTGGAAGAAAGCTTCTGTTTTGTTTTAGTTCTGTTCTTGTAATCAAGACTACAAGCAAACAAAGAGCAAAGAGAAAAAAAAAATCACTCATTAGTAGGCTTCCCCTTTTTTTCCTTGTCCTATTGTCTGGCAGGTACCAGAGGACCATCAGGGAAAACATGGAGTTTACTTCTTTCACCTGACATTCAAGCTAACCTGTAGGCAGTTCAAACTACACAGTTGTAATGCAAAGCCAAGATTTGGCAAAGGAATAGTCTGCCTACGTCCTGACACTCACATGTCACCCCGAAGTCAATGGGACTGTGGATGCCCTTGCATCCACAACGTACATCAGTGACATGCCACTCAGTGCAACAATACCATTCACACCAGCTAGGAGCTGGTGCCCTTTTCAAGAGGGTGATCTTTCAACAGGACATTTAAGAGGCCAAATTTCAGTAAAGTCATTTCTTATTTTCACCACTCACTTGCTTACCTGTAAAACCTGCTCACCAGAACCTCGCTGGTGAATCCCATTCCTCCCCAAAACTGGAGACAGCTATCAGTCACTTCACGGGCCAGACGACCTGCCTTTAGCTTAGCCATGGAAGCAAATTTTGTCACATCATTGCCTTCCACATAGAGAGCTAAAAAAAAAAAGAAGAAATAAAAAAGCAGTTATACACACAGTCACTGATCACAGCCTGCCTCTCTGGCAATCGCCTCCCCATGTTCCTTTAGCCTGACAACGTTCTTTGCATGAAGAGAAGCACATCTGGGAAGGCAGATGTGGGAGCTCACCAACGGTACGGTACAGCAGCGAGCGAAGGAGCTCCACTTCGGTTGCCAGCTCGGCCAGGCGGAAGTGCACGGCTTGGTTGTGCAGGACGGACTGGTCAAACATTTTCCGCTGGCGAGTGTAGTCAATAGTTTCTTGTATTATAGTTTCCAGCGGTGTCAGGACTTGAAGAAGCAAAGCACAGAACAAGACATCATTTTAGCCAGATCTGTTGTTTTTCTTCTTGTTGAAAAAGATGTTTTTCTTCACACTGTACAAACAATACATTAGGTTTTCTAAAGTAAATTATTCCATACTCTCAGTTTGGGGTGCAGTTTCGATTCTGAAAAAAGTCTGGTATTTCCTTGTACCTTGAAGACCTCTTTATCCCTATTTCACCTGAGCCCCAAACTGTCAAAACTCAGAGGAGAGTGAAGGGGGTAGGGAGGAGGGAAGGAAAGTCATAGAGAGCAGTATGTAATGACAAGTATGTGACTTTATCCTTAATGCCTCATTTGGGGCCCTAGCAAAAGCTTGTGGGAACTCCTGCTTTCCATGCTGTGTCCTGAAGGTCTGTTACAATCCCCAAAGAAAATCTGAAGGCAGATGGTGTGCTCACTGAGGAATGTCATAGAGATGTAAATTCAAGGAAGCTTTCAGGGAGAAGGCAGAAACCTATTCAGAGATCAAGGAACACGAACAGGCTGCTTACTACGTCTGCATTCTGTGATCAGATCCCAGTATAGAAAGGAGCGGAAAAACATTAAGATTCACAGCCACTTTTAGTAAATGCTAAACAGTGCTTCTAATGGAAACAGAATCAAAATAGGATACTGCTGGAAGACAGGTGAGAGAGATGGCAGACACTGCTTTAAAGCAAGAGAACTAGTTCACTGCTACTTTTTGAGCAAACTTAGAGATACCCTATTTTAAACAAGAAGAAAAGGGAAAAGTTTCTTTTCCAAGGCAAACCAGACTTGAAGTGAAGGGCTAGGCTATCAGTCTCTTGCAGCTTAGCTAGGATAACAGCAGGTGCTGAATTTGTAGAGAATTTTGTCTGGCAAATGTGGACTTATGTCACTATGGCAAGCAGTAGGAAGAGGGAGAGAGTTCACAAATCCATCTGTATGAGAAGGGTCACATTTTCTCTTTTCAAAATATGCATATCCACATTCATTCACATTTAGAATCTAAACCACAAAAATCTGAATCTGAAATGCAAAATACAACCAAGCCCTGGACTACTACAAAATCCCTTTTCCCACCTGCCAGTTACTCACATGACAGTTCCTTACAGGAACCTGGTGTGCTTCCATATTCCTTTTTGCATTGCTTTCAAGATCACCTCTATTTAAACTTCATCCCTATACTGCTCTCATATGCAGACTCTGCATGCCACCAACTGCCCCCTGCCATGATCATTCACCAGCTCTTCCACAGAGCGCTATTTTTCACATGCTGTCCCCATATTCCGTAAGGTGATCAGCTTTTCTCATTCCTTAAATATTTTCCCCTCCTTTCTCAAACAGCTAGCCTCAACGCTTATTTTTCAAAAGAGCATACACACTAATGGCCTCATTTCTTCTGTGTTAATACACCATGCTGCCACCCTAATGCTGGTTTTCTGGACAGGAAAATAAATTGCTGTTTTCAGGGACATCTCTTGTACAGAGAAACATCCCTGTTCTTCCGAAGGACCATGTAACACAACACTGTAGCATGTATAACACTAATAGCTTTTTCACTTGTATGTCTATGGTCTCCAGCTTTAGAGATGCTAAAGAAAGAGCAAGAATTGTCTAGGCATCTCTTGTCCCTTGCCCCCAAACTGATACCTGGGAAGCATACAGCCGAGTCTGAGCTGCTGGGAGGGAAACTAAACCGTACATGCCAGTGCTAGGACAGCAGAAGGGAGGTGGAAGGGATAAGGACAAGACAGTAGTCTTGTGTTGGTCTGTCAGAGCAAGGTGCTCCAGCATGGCTCATGTGGTTCCCAGCATCCAGCACCAGGGAAAGAAGAGATGGGAAACAGCAAAGAGAAGGACTGGGTGGGAAGGAACAGGACAGCACCTATTTAGGTCCTGCTTGCAAAAGGGCTGAAGATCACGAAGGGGTTTTGGCCCATCTCTGCTCAGGCTGTCACCATGCATCAGGGCTGGGAGTGGGGGGCCTGAGAAAACTGCTCTCACAGTGTCTGCCTCTCTGCTTCACTGCATCCTTCCTGCCCCAGCTGACCCATCCTCTTGTTTCCTTAGCTGCCATCACCACTCTTCTGCTTATTCCTGGAACTGCCATTTGCACACAGAAATAAACAGAGGAAATCTTCTAAGGACAGTCCTGGCCTGCATCAAAAGAAGCGTGGCCAGCAGGTCGAGGGAGGTGATTCTCCCCCGTCTACTCTGCTCTGGTGAGACCCCACCTGGAGTACTGCATCCAGCCCTGGAGCCCACAGTACAAAAAAAGACATGGACCTGTTGGAGAGGGTCCAGAGGAGGGCCACAAAAATGGTCAGAGGACTGGAACACCTCTCCTGTGAAGACAGGCTGAAAGAGTTGCGTTTGTTCAGCCTGGAGAAGAGAAGGCTCCAGGGACACCTTGTTGCAGCCTTTCAATATATAAAGGGGGCTTATAAGAAAGATGGAGAGAGACTTTTTACCAGAGCCTGTAGTGACAGGACAAGGGGCACCGGTTTTAAACGGAAAGAGGGTAGATTTAGATTGAACATATGGAAGAATGTTTTGGGGTTGGAATTAGATGATCTTTAAGGTCCCTTCCAACCCAAACCATTCTATGATTCTAAGAAATTCTTTATGATGAGGGTGCTGAGACACTGGAACAAGTTGCCCAGAGAAGTTGTGGATGCCCCATCATTGGAAGTGTTCAAGGTCAGCCTGGATGGGGCTTTGAGCAACCTGATCTAGTGAAAGATGTCCCTGCCCATGGCAGGGGGATTGCATGCGATGATCTTTAAAGGTCCCTTCCAACCCAAACCATTCTGTGATGCTATGACCACAGGTATTTAGAGCTATGAGCATAGTTCTAACATGGCAAAGCTTAGCTGTGCAGCAAACAGCAACAAAATGCGGCACATGGTGAATACCATGACTGCCAACAGCCTTGTACAACAATACTGTGCCAGTCATATAAGTACAGAGAAATACCATCCTTAACAGTGAAACTCATTTTCTCTCTAAACTTTTTTCTTGCCCCTGTATATTTGTTTCCTCTTTTGTCATACAATGTTCTCCACATCCTCAGACAAACTTGGCCCCATGGGTTTCAACTGACAGCACATGCAGAAAATATCACTCTAGGGCAGTCTAAGGAACGCATGGTCTACCACACAGATGCGAATTGTGAAAGCACTTTAAGTTGCCAGATGCAGAATAATCTTTTCCTCGTACCTCCATCCAACTTATATTTTTCCACTTAAACTTCTGCTCACTGTAAACACACTTTGCTTTGCTATGTCTCCTCTCAAAACAAAAATAATGTATTTTTCTTAGGCTGTGGCTGATCACTCTCTAGTGAGATGTACAGTGAGCTCCAAGCTGAGCAATCTGTCTCTTAAGGACGTGCACTGCCCATGCAAAAGGATCTGTCATCCTGCTTACTGGCCATGACTCAATGGTGCTCGTAAAACTGAGACTACAGGAGCAGATAGAATTCATTAGAAAAGTACCATTCTGCTCTCTCACACACACTGAACTCCCTCTTTGCCTCCAAGTTAAGCAATTCACAAAAAAACCTGTTTGCTTTCTTGCCATAGCAACATTCTTTTCCTGTGATCAGTGCAACAGCTCCACAAATGGACGGTGTTTACCGAGTGTCACAACATGGGAGAGATACGTGGCAGCTCTTCTCTTCCAGTGAAGCAAGAAACACAGCGGCTTTTACCAATGCCTTTGATAACGTGTCACTCGAAAGAAATGACCACACCTGTGACCAAATTTTGCAACTCCAGGAAATCAGTTTTCCATTTATATTTTAAATCTGTTTGACTGAAAATTCATTTTAAAAGGAGAAAAAAGAAGATGAAGAAGGAAACTCCCCACACGTTCTGAAATCTGGCCACAAAGAAGATAATAAACAAAGAGAAGGCTGGAGCACACGATACTTGATAGTAAAAATACATAAAACCAAAAACCAAAATAAAACCCCCCAAACACAACAAAACAAAACAATGCCCAAAAAGGAAAGAAAGAAAAGAATGGCAGTCAACCGCCTCTTCCAAGTGTTAGGAAGCAGTGAAAGCAAGGATGCCAGGACTAGTCCCTAAAGTGTTTAAAAGCAGACTGATGATTTTCAATGTCACATGAATAGTCATGAACTCAGAAGGAACAGAAATGTCCTTCTGAGGGCCAGAAGTGAGGACTAGGATTACGCATGCAGACCTAATCATAAAACTACTGAAGGCATGTACATAGTTTTGCACATCTGAGCCTTCAGCAAAACACTTGTGGTTGAACATATGTGAAACCATTTGCAGGACTGGAAGTTAACAGCTAGACATCATGGTGTAACAAAGCGCACCCATCAAGCACCTGGCTCCCTTCTGAAACATCGGTTACTCTTTTTTCCTGTTTACCACAACTGGTTACATCTGAAGTTTGCAACTTGGCCCAAACCATGGGTCTTGTCCCTGCTCCCAGTGCTTTCATGCATTTTATTTCAGACAGTGGATAAAAGCAAAACCAGGGGGCGCAGCAACGTGTAACACGCTGGCCACCATGCTGCAGGAGGCAGCTCCCTCTCCCTTAGTGAGCTCCAAGGCTCTTCCTCCCTGATAGCCCCTGCCTGGCCATGGCAGGGGGAGCGAAGATGCCCTTCCCAGACTGCTCATCCAGGGCGAGGGCTCGCCTGCTCCTGCTGTGTTGTTCTGGGCAAAAAGAAGAATTGAAACCTGGTGTCCCACTTCTTGGCAGAGCACGGTGACTGCCGGGCAGTTGTGCAAGGCTGGACAGTACCAAGCTGCCAGTGGTTTTAACAGGAGTGATCTAACCTGCCAGGCTTTGTTTTCGATGCTGTCAGTGCGCGTCACTTTTGCCTGGTGCATGACTAATGCTGCAGGCTACTCAGCTGCCTGGGGACTATCACTGCAACCCAGAGTTTCTGATTGTTTTGTTTAACTTAGACTTTAAACTGAGCATAAAAATGCACAATGCACATCCTTGCAGTCTGTGTATGTCTTGATTAAAGCAGGACCAGCAGTAGGACCATGTCTCCTCCTTGCCTGAGTCTGCAGTGGCATCCGTTGCAAGTCTAACCTCCTGTTCTCTGCTAAAACTACTCTCACATTTACTATTTACCTCAGGCTGAACTAAGAATTTTGGCCCAAACCAAAGATTTTTTTGAAGCATTTGAACTCTAAAATATTTAGTCTGGGATCAACCCACAACAGGGAGTGATTTTTCATTTGGTCACTGAATCAGAAAATCACTCTTAGAGTTCCCGATTCCCCAGCCACACGCAGACAGTAACAGACAGGGTATGCACAGGAGCACGAACATGGTGAAATTATTTATACAACCCTGAAATTTAAAGAGGCCCAACCTTCTTACCATGAACCACATTACATTTAAGTTGAAGAAGCAAACACTGTGGGGTAAGGGGGGAAGATTGGGAGGCTGAAAATGGACAATCCAGACTTCGATCTGGTTACCTGGAATATCCAGAATCCGTGTGACTCAAATATGCGGATTCAAGTACGGCCTGAGTTCAGAGTAACAGGAACTCTGTGACAGCATAACTTCAGGGAAAGGCATTTGGTGCTGTACCACTTATGCCCAAAGTGTACAGAGGTAAAACAGATCCGCAAAACAAAACTCTTACATTCTGTATGAGCCACTTCTTTACACAGCCACTAAGTTAATTTTCTAAAATCCAGTTAAACATCATAGCTTACTGTCCTACAGGAAAAGCCACCGTCCTTTCGTGCCAGTATTTTGATAGCCTTTGTACTATATTTGTAGCAGACATAACATGATGCCATATTTTCTTATCAGCAGAAAAGCACCAAGAAAAAGAAACAAGGCAAAACCAGCCTCTGTGATGCCTCACAAAATATTTTCTATTTCAAGTTTTTCTACAGAAAGGAAAGGTCGCCTGTATCCAGGCTATGAGAGATTTCAAAAACAGATCATAAGAGGTCATTGCAATTTACAACAAAAGGAAAGTGCTGTTAGTCATGCGAAGGGTGACCCCTGTGTCCCCTGCCCATCCCCAGAAGCACAAACGATGACTTACCAGTGGCTAATGCCCCCAGCCGCTCTTCTTGGAATTGCAACATCTGATACGTAAAACCCTTTCCTTCCTCACCGATAAGGTTTTTGCTGGGGACCCTTACATCTTCAAAAAAGATCTGAGCTGTGTCCGATGACCTCATGCCCAGTTTGTCTATCTTTTTAGCAACATGAATGCCTGAAGAAAAAGAGATATTAGCAAGGCCACAAAAAATAGAAGCACTATATACAAGTACAGCATTTTAAGAAAGCGAAGTTTGCAGATGTGAAGGTATGTGCCAAGACTACAGTGAAACCTACCTTTAGGAAAAACATAACAGTATTCTGGAATTTAAGAGTAAAATGGCCCACATCCTATTTTTAAGAGTTTTTCCATTTTATTTAACTAGCAAATCAGAAACTGCAATTGTAAAGGCCCCACTTTTCATTATGCCCCCAAATAATAATTGTTCACTAGTAGTAATAATCTTACTTCATGCACATCTTGAAACAATGCAATATTTATTTGCTTATGTTTGATTTTTAGTGCATTATAATAAAATGCAGGAATTCAATTTAGCAGTATTTGCTGAGTACCTGCACTGCTGTGACACAGTAGAGAAATATTTAATAATGACAAAACCAGAGCTATGTTTGAAGCTGCAACTAGAGAATTTCTCCTGAAAATCCTCTTCCTCCCCTCTCCTCCACATTTCTCCTCCCCTTTTTAGCCTATCCTGATTTTTTATGGTACCTCTAGAAGAGAGAGTTTATAATCACACCACACCACTTTTTCCTAATGATAAAAAGTTAGACTCAAATTCATAACTGCTACAGACATCCAACAATTCCATATCAACTCCAAACTTTGTTAAAACTATGCATTTTATGATGGCCTACAAAATACTGTTTAGTTCACCTAAGTAGTCATAGAAGGGTTCATAATGATCACAATTCATTCCTCTGAGTTTTCATGTGGACATGCTTGTGAAGAGGGTTTGCTTTCCCACAGCACTGACTCTGACACCACGTGCAATGGTCTGTTGGAGATGAACCCGGTTCCTTCAGGTTTGGCCACGTAAGACTTCAGCTACCTAGTCACCCCAGGTAGGACTCCTTCCTGTTGTTTGTTTTTTCCTAGCTACAAGTTCTTTCTTGCTATTGTTCAGATGCAAGCATTGCTTACCACTGTGCCATGAGAGTTTAACAGACATCCACTGATTTTTTGTGGGAATTCCCTTGTCTTCAGTTTTTACCTCCTTGTTGCTCTGGGGCTAATGCGAATATTTGGGATGGAAGTCAAGAATGTTTCAGGGTAAACTGAGGCCAACAACCAGGTATGAGGATTTGTGCAAAACACGCTGATTACATCTGCCAAGTCAATATATGTAGAAAAACAGTCCTCAAAATCAGCATAGATGTTTTTGCAGAAAACCAAACATTTTACTACCCACATACATGGTATTCTAACCAGTTTTGTGATGAGGGGTATTCTGGTAGTATTTTCCTCTTTATTCTATTTTTTTTTTCAATCCTCTACTACTCTCTAATGCAGCTTAGTAGGAGTTGGTCACTGCACAGATTGTTGTGGTCCCTCTTGGTACTTGTTTGTACCTTGCTATCCTTCATGGCTTTCAGTGAACATCTCTTTCTGAACTAACACAGACATCTCAACTTCTACTGACAGGAGGCCTTCAGCCATGTGAAAGTTACTTCGGTTTTGCAGGTGGAAGAAGTTGGCAGTCATTCCCTTCAAATTCACTCTCGCTGGCTGCATTGAATAAGGTTATGGAAAGTTTCATCTCTCCGCAGCGATGAAATACTGACACTATTTCCAAATGCCAAGACTGCTCTCAGAATAAGGTCCACACAGACTTCCACACCTTCCACTCAAGATTTTTCTCCACCAGCCAATCTATAAACAGATTATGTGTTAGGAATATTTGCTTTGATATGTGTTCAACACAGGAAAAAAATCAGGACAGCTGTATAAAAATTTTTGACTCTCGGATTGAAAATTATCCAGCAATTTGCACCCAGTCATGCCAAAAAAGCATTTATGGTTTGTTTCCGTATTAAAATCAGAGCTAAACAAACACACACTGAACCATTTACAGGCCCAAATGATTTCTGGAACATCTTTTCCCGTTGGAATACTACTGCTTGGTTTCTTTGAGAGTCTCAGAGATCATGTCTCTGGTCTACTTCCAGCTGGTTTTATGCAATCACTGCTCCTCACCCATATGAAGATGCACTTACTGCTCTTGTTAGTGGGTGGTTTACTAAGGACTCCACTGGAAAAAGTACAACTGCTTCCAGTTCTTTATATTGCTAAATCAATCCTGTTGTGTACTTCCCCAGATCCACATACAACAACAACTACTGAAGAAAGCTCTTAGAGCTTTGGTTAGAGGAGCTAAATGTGTTAATGATTTCTATCCATACTTCTTCCCGATTGGGTTGTGTGTTCAAGTTTCCTGAATCCAGCAGCATCCCCCCTTTGTTGTACCTTACCAGTTTCACTTGTTCTTAGATTAATTCATGTTTCTCATTCAGAAGGAGGCCAAACTGCATCAGCCTCATGTAGTGCCCCCTCTGTGGCTAGCACATGCTTTCCATTTTCTCTTTTTTGAAGACAACGATACATAATCATCTCTTTGGCTACCATATGGGCATCAAAATCTTCCTTTACCTGGTTTAATTATCTTCATTCTCTTCAAAAGGGGTACTATATACTAAAAATTACCAACAGCAGTAGAAATCATCTGCCCAGATAACTCCTGGAGTTTGTCTGTATTAAATAAATCACAAGCCATCCAGTAACACACAGATCTCAATCTAGCAAGGCCAAGTGCCTGACTTACTAAAATCACTCTAACAGAGCCATTTGTGCTACTTGCACCAGTATCACTGAGATGGATTGCTATATCTCTTCCTGGGCAGTTCTTCCCAGGCATCTTTGGTTTTTCATTTTCTCCCACTCCTCCAGCCTTCTGACAATGTCTTTTATTTCCTATATTCTATCTTGAGAGAAAGGCAGTCACTCTCTCCTGACACCATTTAGTGCCATTACAAATGGAAAGAGGCACATTTTAAATTGCAACCTGAGAAACGTGCTCTTTCCCCTTTCCTGAATGCTCTTCTCCATTATCTCCTCCTTGCAATCTACCCTAGCACTATTAGAGGACTCAGAGAACAAACCAGCGCACAAATAGTTACCAGATTAGAGCTGCAAGCCATTTGTCTGTATATCTTACACACAGACATTTTACAACTTGTTAGATTCTCTTTCATCGTATGAGAAACTTAGCTTTTATTTTAAGACATCATTAGTATGAGGAGTGTTCACCTAATTTGGACATTTACTGTGAATCCACACTCCCATTATCCAAATTTCCTTTATAAGAAATGTATTCAGTAGTGTCTGTCAAATCTAGACCATGATTTGCTTCACCCCATAATAGACACTGTACACAGCTAAAATTAGAAGAAGCAAATCCTACTCCACATCTCCAATAAACTACCAGTTGTTGAAGTTAATTATTCACTTTCAGACTTGGAACTTTTTTTCTTTTTTTTTAATCACCACGTTATACAAGTGTGAAGCAATGAAGATTTTTGCAAAAAATGCTGGACTAGTCTCCCATGTCCTTCCAGCTGCTAGCAAGGAATCAGCTAGCGCTGCGCCACTGATCCCTTCCTTACCCTGCCATGTAGGCTGGTGACTGCAGCAGTTAGTCAGACATAACACACTCGTTCTCGAGCTTTGACACACGTGCATCTACAGACGCTTGATAATGCATCATTCGGTGACATCCTCCAGACACTTCCCATACAGTCTTGGTCTGCTGCCCTCCAAGGAGCACAATCTTTGGCAGACAGACATCCTTAGGATGTATCAAAACAGCTGGAGCTTCCTCCTCACATCTGTGTCAAATGGCAGCCTTTTTCATACTTTTCCTCTTTGTCTTCCTGAAAAATCTCACTTCTGATATGACCCACCCACTGAGCACAAATAACCGTCTTAATACTTCATTTCAAAAGGTCACCAACATTGGTACAGTGACCCTTTTGGAGGTCAGTATCTGTATCACACAGAAGAATGAAAGCACATACACTTTGAGGAGTGCAATTTTTGTTTCTAGGAAGGCTTCTACACTTCTGCAGATCAGATTCAGGTGACTCAGGCAATTTTTCTACTCAAAATCTATTTACCACAGGTAAAGAACGTCTGTGTATAAGCTGTGTGACCTAACAACACCGCACCCCGCTAAAGCTACGATGACTCACATGTCTTTTTGGAATAAGCAAAGTAGCTGAAAACCTCCAAGTCAATTTTTGTATATTTGATCTGCCTCTAACAGTGGGTTGGCTGCTTTGTTATTTTTGGAAAACTAATCTCAGAGAAGTAGTATTGCATTTGCACTCTGATCCTTTCATGAAAAATCACAAGGAGGACTTTCATGCAGATGGCTGATAAGTGAGTGTACCTGGAAATTCAGGGAGATTCTGGCTCTGAGTCATATGTTTGCTCATCAATTATCAATAAGGACAAAGCCAACAACTAGCGAAGCAGCTCGGGTCCATCTTCTGCGAGCTCCCATTCAAAGCCTGTCTTGCATGAGCAGAAATTGTAGAAACTCACAGCCCACTCAGAACTTGCTTAATTCCCAAGGCAACTGACTGACTTGCTTGACTTACTCCATATTGAAACTCACTTGCAAGACATGCCCTTAAGTAGCTCTCATCACCCTCTTTTGCAACATTGGAGACCTGGGTTTTGTTCTCAGTCTGATCAATTAAGTGAACATATGGACCTTCACTTCACCGCCATGGTGGTGTCCCTACATGCCCTACATGAAATGCTGATAATGACATATATTTTGTATGTACAATACTCTGAATTGAATGAACAAAAATGCCATAGGATTTAATATTTTATATTAATACATAAATACATTAATATACATTATTGTTATTAAATCGATATTGTATATTTAAAATATGTGTTAAAACATATTATACATTATATATTAAATAAATCAATATATTACATAATTTTTTAAATATTAAAATAAGTGAAAACCAAAAAGGTTTAAAAACTTTTGAACAGGTGTTAAAACTGCAAAAGGTCCCTGCCAACATAACCTTAACTGTATCCTCTCTGAATTATGTCCTTTATGCATACAGCACATTATTGCTGCAAGGTCTGCAGACTACTTGGGAACAGACACCGTGTGGACTGTACCACTGAAACTTGTACCCTTAGATCAGGATGTATTTCTTCAGTGCCTTCACCCAAATTACTAGACTTCTTCAAAAACAAATCCCTATTTCCAAGATCTTCGAAGCTTTCATTCCAGCCCACATTTAACTCACAGACTGTTTTTGTAATTTAAACTGATAATGATAGTAGCACCCTGGCAAAAAGATCCCTTTGCAGAGCACAGCCATGAAGCACCCTGGGTGGGTATGCCTGCACTTCTCTTCAGCAAGCCCACCAGGTTGGGTGGTGCAGGATGGTTATCGGAGGAAGGTCAGGACCATCCACACGATACAATCACAGCACAGCATTGCATCCTTCTAGTATTCGATACAGCTGGTCAGTAAACCCACCCTAACGGAGTCAGATACTGCCCATGGGGTCCTGGGAGCCAGGTATTGGCATGTGGGATAAGATTGTTTTGGGAGGTATTTCCCAAGTTTGAAATTTCTAAACTCTTCATCCTTTTAATTTCACATGTTTGAGAATCACTTTCAATATTTTCTGAAGAAATAAGACAGCAAGCTTAAAAATACTTCCCCATTGATTGAAAAAAGAAGTATATATTCTATTCACCCGTCCTCATACAAAACAGGAAGGAGTTTAATGCTAATTTGGAAAGATAATTTAAGAACATTTTACATATAGTTCATATGTAGCAAAGATCTATGTAAACAGAGTAATATGTTATTTATTTTGCAGACTGTTTGCATCTTCATGCTTTTTGGGGACAGAAAACCAAGATAAAAGTTTTCTGGAACTTCTCCAAAACTAAAAGAAAATGGATGTTATAACTTTAAAAAAAAAATGTTGGCTCTATTTTTAATGATTTCTTTAAGGCATTAATTTTGTCCTTGGCATTGCCTTGTCTATTCATTCTCACAGAAGGTTATGAAATATTCACATGCAAATGTATCTGAATAACTTTTACACATTTATTTTTGGCAAAAAGGACTCTCCATATAAAATTATTTGGGAGTCACAAGCTGAAGTCTGCAAAATATTTAACTTCCTTCTTGTTTCCTCTTGTCCCCTAGTTTTTTGTGGAAGTGTGCAAATGCATTTCAGAACCAACTTTGTATGACAGTGACTAACTTAGAAGAGCATTGATGGGTGCGGTCCTTTCTGTCAAACACCTTTCCCTCTTCTATTGGGCATACACAAAAACACCAATAAAATCAAATTAGAAGAGAAAGAGTTCTGTGTTATTACCAGGTAGATTCATTGGCAGACATAGGAGAGATTTATTTCGATGGAGAGGTCCTTCACTGGTGTTTGCCAGCAGGCACATCCAGTCCGCTTGGCACCCGGACGTAGTCCACATCTTACCACCATTTATGACATATTCATCACCTTTTCTCACAGCTGTCGTCTTGATATCTATTTCAAAACATAGGAAATGAAGGGTTATTCTTGTGAAGGAGGGAGAAGCTGGTCCCTGTACGACTGGCAGAGTCAGTCCCTTGCTCTCAGACAGACAACTACTACTTGGTTCTCCCTTCATACCCCCGCCAAGTCCTCTACCCTTTCAGGCTGCACAAGGCAGACCCATCTGGACAACTCTTGGAAGGCAAGCCAGGGAAACCAGACCACTTCTCTCACCCTCCTTTAGGTGGAGTCTTCATCCCAGTGGATGAAAGCAGAAAACTTTCCCTTAAGTAAATTTGGTCCTCAAAAACTCAGGCCAGAAACGTTTCACTCTGAGGTGATCTAGTACATGTTTCTGTTACTGTGCATGTTAGTCACTGAGGAGGCCATTAATTTCAGAGTCCTGACTTAAACAAACATAAGCCTTAATATCTGTGTATGCATAAAGATACACGTACATGCACCTCCTGCATGTTCTTGGTCAGAATGGCATAATAAATTCAAAGATAGTAAACTTTCAAAAGGCCAAGTCTAAATGCTAAGAATGTCTGTACATGAAGGAGTTCTAAACATCTGCTATTTATACCCCCTGGCAAAAATCGATCTTATTTTCATCTGTGAGTGTTCACATCACGTTGCAAGCAGCCCTAGTTGCAATAGACAGCCGGAGTGAATCATTAGCTATTATTTACACTCCAGCACAATTTCCAAAGAGCTGGCTTCTTTCCCCTGCAGTTGAACTTCTTCAACTAAAACCCCAACTGAGGAAGACTCTCCAACAGATATCTAGCTATAAGTAGGTGATGGTATAAGAGAACCCCATCACACCCCTAATAGCACCTGTAAATCTAGTGAGACTATGAAGTCCGTAAGAGCCCACCTACTGAGGGAAGCAGTAGACTTCGAGGGTAGGAGTCAGACACCAAGAGGTGTGGGCAGGCACATTTAAGTCAGCTGGTTATACCTTCATACACACCCACCTCAATCTGCACAGGAACCTTCTTCCCAAAGGCTCTAAACGTAAAACAAAGCAAAACCAAGGATCTGATCTTCATTTACAGGATAAACTGGGACTGAGGTCAGCATGGCTGAAAAGAAGTCTTGTTAATGAAGGAACTGGGGAAAATCGATGGGAGAAAATTGTATAAGGTATAAGACGAGGGAATATCAGATACAGCTATGGCTAAAGGAACTTACAAG